GACCGGAAGGAGCGGAAGCGGTCGACTGTGGCATAATAAAAGCTCCGCTGCTTTCGAGCCGTGTGTCGCGCTCGTTCAGCGGCCTCGTTTTGCTTGGACGGCTTTCAGCCTCACTCTGCTTCATTCTACTAATCATTCAGCTAAATCATTAGCTCATCCATGAACATGATTTCTGCCCGAGTCCAGTCGGATTGCATCGGCTGTGGGGATGAAGACCACAACTCCCATGATTCCACACTCAGTCATCAAACTACTTGTTTCTTTGTTTATTTTGAATACGCGCCCTCTAGCAGCGAAAATTACATATTGTGCCTTTTAGTCACCTTGATATTTTCACTGTTCTATTTATATCTACAGCAGGATATAGTCTGACTTAATTTTACTTTGTGTTGCATGAGTAAGGAGACGAAGCATGAACTGAATAATTGTACTAAATTGTATGGTTGTTTTTTTTATTATTCAAATAATGTACAACTTTTGAATAGCTCTTGAGCCTAAACAGTTCTGTTTGTATATATTTTTAATTTTATAAAATGATAAAAGAAACCAGACTCAGCACGCAGACAACAGTCTGGAAAATATGCAGACTGTCCCAAAAGTGTCCCATTTTCCATTTGATTTCATCCTAAATAAAATAATCATTCAGTCAGTTTCTTCTTCTAGGATAAACTTTGTGTTAATGTTTGGTTTTATATGGCTTATTAAAATTATTAAGAGGTTTCAGCTGCAATAAATGATAGACCTTAAGCATAAATAAAAAATAATATTTTTTCCTGAAACTAATTATGAATTGCAGAAGTGTTGAGTAATATGGACAAAACAGTTCAGGTCCACTGCCACGAATGATTTTACGGCAGCGCTGCAATTATATTTTTATTAGAAGCACCAAAAATCAAACATTTCAATACATACAACTAGTGGGAAAAAATGCAGTTAAATAAGAACAATTAAAACAAAAGGAGCTGGATGTTTATTACTGATTCCACCCTAACCCTTCAGAACTTCTTCTTTCCATAACCCCGCTTTATCAGTTCAGCCTTCCACACAGCAAAGGGTTTTGTTTCGGTCTCCTCACAATGCCAGTTCCCAAAATACTGCCGATGAGTTGACATTATTCTCTCTTTATTGCACTTTCTGCACTGGATAGCCTCTGATCGTCGCACATACTTCCTGGTACAAATGCCATCTTTTTCTTTGACCAGTTTTCTCTTCCAGTGGTACTGTGTGGTGTAAGGAACAGGAACCGAATGGCAGCTCGCTGTTGCTGGTACATCAATCTTTTGTGCAGGTGTTAAAACCACTATCATTTGTTTTGACAGAAAAGGGCTGGAAAACAAAACGGGCAAAGTCAACGTTGAGCCTGACTGGGCTTGAGCAAGAGCAGGTTGTTCTGTTGAGGCTTCTTCTTGTGTTGTGTTGCTGTTTTCCATCACAGTGTCTGGAGGCAAGTTTGAAATGAGAGGCTTGTCATCGCAATTGTACTCCATATGATCCTCTTCTTTTATGAAAGGAACCTTCTCTGGAGCCGTCATTCCTGTCGCCGGTGAGGATGTGATTGGAGGAAAGAGATCTTCCCCCTGAAACTGAGCACCTCGGCTTGTCCTGGAAAAGATTGAACGACTCGCATTAATATTTTTAAAGTGCCTCTTGGAAATACCAAGCTGAAGTATATTTTGCATTACATCGATGGAGAAGCTTCTATGGGTTGATGTGCGATTGTCCAATCCCCAATGTCCTCTAGTTTGCAGCAGCCCTCACTTTTAGCCACTTGGACGTCAGTGGTTTCCATCTGTCTAATGATAAATCTACTGTCCTGGATTGCTTTGCCAGTCTGATGGTTACAGGTACTCTAACCCAATCAGTTCACCTGAAAATTAGTTGAAGATCAATGCACTTGAAATCAAAACATGCAATCAAAATGTAACTATGTTTTATTAAATGGATAGTTCACATAAATATGAAAATTCTGTCATAATTAGGCAGGTTGATGTGCGATTGTCCAATCCCCAATGTCCTCTAGTTTGCAGCAGCCCTCACTTTTAGCCACTTGGACGTCAGTGGTTTCCATCTGTCTAATGATAAATCTACTGTCCTGGATTGCTTTGCCAGTCTGATGGTACAGGTACTCTAACCCAATCAGTTCACCTGAAAATTAGTTGAAGATCAATGCACTTGAAATCAAAACATGCAATCAAAATGTAACCATGTTTTATTAAATGGATAGTTCACATAAATATGAAAATTCTGTCATAATTAGGCATTCTCATGTCATTATAACATTTCTTTCTTGTGTGAAACACAAAAGAAGCCATTTTTAAGAATGTTGGTTACCAACCAAGTTTTGGTGACAATTACGTTCAGTGTCATTATTGTTAACAAAAAAACTAAAGGCTGAAATATATATATATATAATAGATTTAATAACTTAAGGGATAGTTCACCCAAAAATGAAAATTCTGTCATTAATTACTCACCCTCATGTCGTTCCAAACCCCTAAGACCTCGGAACACAAATTAAGATATTTTTGATGAATTCTGAGAGCTCTCTGACCCTCTCATCCGCGTGGCACAGCTGACACACAACAGCATACGTTGTTTACGTTCAGTGGATACTCTCAAAAATGGCGCCAGGGTGACGCGGAGGAGACAAATTGTTAAAGTCGTTGTTTTTATTTTCTTTGTGCACAAAAAGTAATCTTGTAGCGTCGTACAATTACGGTTGAATTCCTGATCTCCTTGCTACGTTTCTGGACCTTGATCGTGGTAATTACATTGCTGTCTATGGGAGGGTCAGAGAGCTCTCAGAATTCATCAAAAAGATCTTAATTTGTGTTCCAAAGATGAATGGAGGTCTTACGGGTTTGAAACGACATGAGGGTGAGTAATTAATGACAGAATTTTCATTTTTGGGTGAACTAACCCTTTAAGCAA